TATGTATGCTAAAAAGCTAAAATAATGGAAAATGGCAGCCATTTTAAATTGTAATAGCTCAATTGTGTACAATATTTAGTTAACTGTTGCTGTCATTGTTATGAGTGGATTTCCAATTGAATACTACATTTTAAAGACATAAATTTACAATATTAGTGACAATTTTAGGAAAAAATGGCGGCCATTTTGAAACAGCTGGCAACCCCCCTTACGTATGAAAAAAAAAATGTTGCACATACTTTTTTGATTTATCTATGTCTACTCTACATCATATCCAATTTTAGAAAAATATAGCAAAAAAAAATGCAACCAACCAAAGTTTGCTGGACTATAGGGCTAAATAAATTACACGTTTTGCTTAATATCTCCAAAGCAGCAAATTGTCAGTTATGCCCTTTTGCCATGGGAGGCAGTAACTCTTCGTATCACAGCACCCCCTAGTTCCGTCACCTCTTGTTTTAGAACAAGCCTTTTCGGTAGGTGTTTTAATTACATGGTTCAGTGATTATGAGCATGAGCAGTACCGGTAGCATTTGGTTGGCTGCAACGCTGTTCTCTTGACTGTATTTGCATAACAACGTTAACGTACAGCCGGGATGGAAGAACAAAGGAAATCTCGGGTCGATTCCAATCTCCGTTTATAGTTGTCTCAGCCTAAAGAGTGCTAAAGCTTGTCTATCGCATTTCATAGCTGTACCGTAAATCGATTTCAATCAACGACAAGTGAGCAGTTACTGTGCGAATTTTGATTTCTTCTGCGATTACTGAAAATCAATTCTTTCCAGCGATTTTCTACAAAGTTAGATGTGCTATGAGCGTGTCTTACTGAATTCAATTTGTCTTATTAAATTAAATTTTGTTCGCAGTCCATCTTGGAGAACAGTATTTTAACTTATGAGTGTTTTATATTGTTGTTTGCTAAATGTTGAGACCAACAAAAGGCTTTGCTTGGATGCCGGTTTCTATCTAGTTTTGAAAGACTATTCCACAATCTAGCTATAGACTGCATCTGATGCACTATTGGGGGATCCCATCCGACTGTATGTCACCAAGCATCATTTAGAGTATATTTTCCAATACCAAAGAAAAAGCAAATTGCACTGTAAAACAACAGAGTTTATCGAAGAGTACTCGTATATACCCCAAACACCATTTGAAATTGGCCTAACAAATGACCAATAAAGTTTTGTAATGAAAAAAAAAGTTGATTTAGTTTCACCTTTAACATTTAGATGAAAAATATAATTTATTGACATAATAAAAAGTATTATTTATTTAAAATGTTGTCTCCTTTTAGTATAAACATGACTGACTATAAATATTGAATATCTGTTGAGGTTTCCCAAGAGGAGCATCATAAAGGAATTCTAAACATGATGGTAAAGCAGACAGTGGGTGTGCTATACCAACTACATGAAGATGATCGACTTAATAAAGAAGAAGTTCGTCAGTATGTAGACAAGTTTCAAAATGAGGTGGTTGTTGCCAAAGATAAGTATGAGCAGGAGAAGAAAAAACAAGAGAAACATTTGCACACGCGAATGAGTGCTTTAAAAAAACAAAAGCTTAGAGAAAAGGTACAATTTTTAATGAACTACACTGTGTATTGATGAAAAAACACTGTATTGTTCCTAGTCGTCATCTTAACCATTAACGCCCTACTTACTATAAGACTATAGGAATGGTACAATCTTATACTCATCCTTTACTTAGAGACTATCATTTGTATTTGTACCCTTAAAATCAACTTTGACTAGGATGACTTGACTGCATGTGCTATGTACGCATACCAATGTCTGAGTCAGAAAAATAATGGAAATAGATCACCTAGTTCTTGAGTATCTATAGGGTCTGTAGGTGCGTAAATTCCCTCTCCTCCCCCAAAACAACCCTGTCGCCCGAACATTGAAAATATTCTTTAAAAAAAAATAGTTGAAAATTGCCTCATATTACCTTATTTTAGGAGCTAGGGCCCCTAACCTAATCATCAAGGCCCTATTTACTTCCGAGCTCCTTGCCCGTTCAAGAATTCTTACTTACGCCAAATTTGCCTAACGCTTGGCAACACGCCAATTCGGCCCTTTGGCTAATTTGTACAATACACACATACAAATTAAGCGTATAATAACCATCAAAATGGTTGTTGACGCTAATTAGTATTATAGTACATGCATATTTATTAGCGTCAACCGTCAACAATGGTTGTTAACGCTAATTAGTATTACTATACACACAAAGTAATTAGTGTCAACAACAGTCAACAATGGTTGGTGAAGAAATTAGTATGATCCTTCTTACATGAAAAATAGTAACTGATATAAGGCCATACTCTTAAGCATAGGTTTTTCCATTGATGAAGTTAAGAATGCTTTATAATAGTATCATTAATATTATAATATTAATGATATTATTATAAATGATAGTATTATTAATATTATATTATTATTAAAACTTTTATATATTAATAGTATTATTTATAATAGTTTGCATGGTACTATGGTACCATATTTATTATGTACATAATATTTTCAATTATAATTTGGCAATTTTTCTTTATATAAAATTACTCTTTAGGTGAAGGACAATAACTCGAAACTTGAAGAGTTTGAAAACGAACAAAAGAAAAAGCAAGCAAATGGCAAATTTGGTATGGTAAATTGTTTTATTAATTGAATAGTTAGACTAAATATTTTAGTCGAATTTTTATCTTTTTGGTTAAACAACTAATCCAATAATTTTACTTTTAGATTTGTCATGTTTTGCTTCTGAAGTTGGGCAATCTCAGCTGTGACCCTCCGATGAGAGCGTCACCTATTTTCTGTTTGGGTAATGGGGTCTGTGCTGCTCAAGATTTGATGTACATGAACAAATTCAAATATTATTTGATTTCTATGCCATTTTTGAGCTCATATTTTAGAGCTCATTTTCCAAGCTTAATATTATATTAGTAAAATATAATTTTTAAAGCTAGTTGCCTAATTTTAAAATATATATTTACCCTAACCCTAATACTATATTTTTTTATTCAGAGTCTAGTGAATACTTAGATTCTAAACTGACGTTGTTTAGTAAACACAAGCTCAAACTAAAAGACACTGAGAATGAGTTGGATAAGGAGGCAGCGAGGAAACTGGAGGAATTGAGGGAAAAACTAAGAGAAAATATGGAAGAAACTATAGAGAAAACTAGGAACCATCTTTATTCTGATCTCAAAAGCAAAGGTAGCTTCACAACATCAACATTTATGTTTGGACATTTTTTTTCAAAGCGAAAACAATTTACGATGTGTCTACTAGTGAACACCTATTAGCTATCTATTACTGACCTAATTATTGTGAATTTTAAAATAAATATCTGGTATTTTATGTAGCTAACAAACTACCAAAACTATCACCTACTAATTACTATGATTTATAGACATACACTACAGAAAATCTATTGTACGTCTATGATTATATCCATGTCTATTAAGCAATTCTTAGCTTATTTATTTACTTGGAATAGCACTAAGTATTATATGAACAGTACCTACTGAAATAGATAAACTATAGGCAAGAAGTATACACAGAAACAGATAAGAAACCCACAGCGTGTGGCGTACCGTGTAAGGTGGACTTCTGATCGTGAGATTAGAAGTTCGAAACCGAAGCATTGTTTCTGCCCTTGTGCAAGACACTTTACTTACATTTGCTTCCCTTCATCCAGAAGTATAGATTGGTACCTTGCAGGTTGGTATGGGTTGTGCGGTTAAGGCTGCATGACTAGGAATGTCCCCCTAGGAGCAGAGAAGGTTGCACAAAATGTGCCTGTATTCCAATGACCAGGCAAATAATGCCAGATATTTTCCGGATTGTCATAGGCGCTATATAAATTCTGATTCTAAAGAAAAAAATAATCATCTAATGTTTTTTGCTACTATGCATCAGAATGAAACATTAGCATAATATGATCATTATAGTATGCTATACTAAAACCTATATTATTATTATTATTATTATTATTATTATTATTATTATTATTATTATTATTATTGAATAATAATAATAATAATAATAATAATAATAATAGTAATAATGACAAAGATATAGGTTTTTCTATTATCTCGGGCAGGAGTTGTTATTATGTTTTCACTCGTGTAAGTTCGTGTGTGTTTCAGTCGTGTGTATGTGTAACGTTTTAGGGTTTTCGTGTGTTTGTTAAAACTACTATTTAGATCTGTGCCCCTGTTTTTGACATATTTTGAACGCAAGAAACACGCAGGACCTTAACATTTAAATGACCCTCAAGTCCACACCCGAATTTGGATCGTCACCAACACTTAATAATTCATTCCCTGTGACTTGGTTAAACCTTCACAAAAATATTTCAATCATATCAGTCGATCAGTTTTTGAAATAAATTGTCTAGGACGTTTGCTCTTAAATCCGTTTAAATGGTCATCATATCCACACCCTACTCCGGACCGTCACCAAAATTTAATCATTTCTTCATATGGTTATACCTAACATTTCCTGTAATTTTCAATTATGTCTGTGCAGCCGTTAATGAGATATGTCGCACACAAAAATACCACACGAAAACACTAAAACGTTACACACACGCATACACACCCCCACACACACAGACTGAAAACATAGGCTATATCTCATGTCGGAGATAATAATGATGGTGACAACGACGACGAGAGCTCTCAGTAGAGAGCATATCTCTGCCCACCGTTAATTTCTTTCTATAAAATAATTCCTGGAAAATATGTTCCTGCTTTCCAATAACCAAGCACAATCTACCTAAAAACTATTACACTAACAGAAAAAAAAATCATTTAGATGAGTTGATTAGTTTTTGAGATCTGATCCGCGACATTTTGCTTTAAATGGTCTTCTTTTTTCCAACGCCTTGTATTGTATCAGACGTTGTACACCTGCAAACTTCCTACATTTACTGGCTTAACATACTGGCACGTTTTTCTCTTTTAGCTAAAAACAAAATACATGCAATGTATTGGTGTTGAAATGAAAATATTATGGAAATAGAAATATGGGGATTTGGTTTTTAGCGTCACATGTTTAAATGCAAAGATGCATTGAAATATTCTCGATAAGTCCCAATAAAGTGAAGTTAGTACATATAAACTCTGTGCACCTTTACTGTAATTGCACTAATATAAATATTCTTCATGTAGCTATTGTTTATTTTTTGTTTTTTAATTCACAAAAAATTAAATAATAAAAAATAAACTACACGAAAACACAAATACTTGTAACTTGGTCAAACTTTTACAAAAGTTCCATTCAGATAAGTTTTTGGTCTGGAACGTTTTTCTTTGATAGATATGCTATCTACTGAGTGCTTTTATTATTATTATTATTATTAATATTATTATTGCTGCGAAGCAGCCAATTCATATTCTTGACAGCAATTTGACCTCTGAAAGGTCATTGTTTGTCAAAAAACAGGCGCCTAAGACGACTGAAAAGCGGAGTTTCCTTCTTTCGCTCTGCCGGGTAAAATCAATTACTTTAGGCGACGTTTGTAGACTAACCTACTCGTACCAACGTCCGCATGTCGCGCTAGCCAGGCCTAGACTAGCTAGGATGGTAGGCCTAGCCTCGAAGGGACGAAGGTCCCAATGAAAAACAACGTCACTCCTTGATAGCTAACATTGTCTATAATAATAATAATAATAATAATTCATTATTAGACCTATAGTTGTTTTTTGAATTGTACTCCCCAAATCTCAGCCGATACCTCGCATAACTCGTTAACGTCTCGTATCTATTGTCGTGACGTCATGGCTCGCTGGCTCACACCAATTTAACCTCCTTGCTCACACACTTGTGATGTCTCGCACTTGTGATCAAATAACACGCTGGCTCGTACTTTGGCAACACTCTTTGGCAGTCAACTCGCCCCTAGAAAACCCGCCCTTGGAAACTTGCCCCATTAAAAAATGTACACTTCCTAGACCATGCAGTCTTCAAAATAAAAATTGTAACCTTTGGTAAATAACTACATTTTCCACATACATAGAAATTTTTGAAACTTTATTAAAAAAAACCTAAACCATAATTCACCACTATAGACACTTTTTGACAAAAATGAAAAATTACGACTTTGTTACCCAATGAGAAGTGTTCTAATATAGACAATGGGTCGAGTCTGTAATGTCCACAAAATTAAAGAAACTTTGGACAGATTTTAATGACAATTCTAAGCTCTCTTTATTTCTGTTCTTCCTCCTCGAACCTCGCTTACGCCCTCAATCTTTACACTCGTTCCCGTTACCACAATCTCCCGTTACCACAATCTCCCCCCTGTAACAAATTACATTCTTCAATATACCTACTAGGGTTTCTCACTACCCTACCTGACCTAGTTCTATATGGAACCTGGTCTACACCCCTTGGTACGAATCTGTCTGTATTGACATTTTCTGGTTGTGCATTCCCGAAATCATCAATCATCAAAGGCACTGCATTGCCTAACGGGTTCACCCATTCCCTACAGTCAGGGCTTACAATAGCTAACCTTTCAACATTACATGTTTTTCTGTTACTTAACAGAAAGGCTGCATTCCCCACTTTCTTAACTACACGAAATGGTCCCATAAATGAACTACTGCCCTTATACACATATCCAGTTTTTTTAGCCTTTACATTCATTCCCTCCTGTATAATAGGTTTTTTAACACTGTTACGATTGTCAAAATATGTCTTTTGTTTCTTCTGATTAACTTTTACTAGCTCTTTAAGCTTAGATTTATCAACTACCACACCTGCTGATGGTGTCAACCCTTTATTATCTAACTTGTTTCTCAATTTACGTCCATGCAACAACAATGCAGGTTCCACCTCTGTTGTTGAGTGTGGAGTGTTTCTATATGCAAATAAAAATGCACATATTGTTTAACTTATTTCCCTTCTAAGAATGCAGTTTGTATCGTCTGTTTTAGCACTTTGTTAAACCCTTCTACGGCACCATTACTCTGTGGGTGATAAATAGCAGAATGCAAATGCCTAATATCTCTTTGTATTAGAAATTGTTTCATTTCATAACTGACAAATTGAACTCCATGATCAGTGATTAATTCTAATGGGTAACCCTCCCGCACAAACAATACATTACAACTTGTGTGGTCACCTTTGGTACAAAACACACTTCCGGCCACTTAGAATAGTAATCAATAAGAGTAATGGCAAATCTGCACTGGTTTGGTAGTAAGTCACAGGGACCAACTATATCTAGTCCTAACTTTTCCCATGGACCTGACGGATACTCTATGGGTGTCATAGGGGCTTTTGAAACCCTTACCGTTTTATCATGTTCTATACACACCTTGCAGTGTTTAATTATATTTTCTACTTGTATGTCCATTCTTGGCCACCAATATAATTGCCTTAATCTTTTCTTCGTTCTCATTATCCCTTGGTGAGCCTCATGTGCTTTATAAATTAAATGGACTGTTAGGGAGTCTGGTACCACCAACCTATCGCCTCTATAAACTCTATTTTCTAACACTATTAATTCCTCCCTTACATTGTAATATGGCAGTAAGTTACTATTCAACTTATCCTTACTTGCAGGCCACCCTGACTATGTATTTGATCACTTCCTGCAAAATTTGATCTTTATCTACCTCGGCATTAAATTGGGTTAGGGTTATGCAACACTCCTCCTCTACCTCCACTAAACAGACAGCGGCAACTTCGTTGTCTTCGGAGGACCCTGTTTCCGATTCCAGTGGCAGACGAGATAGGCCATCCGCCACAACATTATCAGAACCTAACCTGGTTTATATTCAACGGTGTAATTATAATTTAGCAGCCTTGCACCCCATCTAGCTATTCGCATTGGTCTGTGGCCAGTCCCACTTGATGCTAAGAGTGTTGTCAAGGCTTTATGATCAGTTCGCCACGTGAAATGCCTACCCCATAAGTATGTATGGAATTTCTCAATTGAGTACACACATGCCAAATCTTCACGTTCACCTGTGGAATATTTCATTTCTGCACATGTTAACTTCCTTGACGCGAAAGCTATGGTTACCTCTTCCCCTTCAACTAACTGGGTGAGAACCGCCCCTATTCCGTACCCTGATCCATCAGTTGTCAGAATTGTTTCCCTGTCTGGGTCAAATAATGCGAGGGCTGGACATGTAACGATGCTTTGCTTCACCGATTCAAATGACATACTGGCCTGTTTACCCCACTCAAAGTTATCACTTAACTGAACATCCCTTAATGGCTGTACAAGAGTTGCATAATTTTTGATAAATTTGGAATAGTACCCTACTAATCCCAAAAAGGATTTCACCTGTTCTTTACTTTCTGGGACTGGGGCGCATGTTATTGATTTAACTAAGTCTGGATTTGGGTGAAGCCCCTCTGCATCTAATACATGGCCCAAAATTTTAACACTAGTCACTCCAAATTCACACTTGTCATTTAGGCGCATTCCATAATCTTGAAGCCTATTTAGCACTGCCTTCAGAGCTGTATCATGGTCTGATTTGGTCCTGCCAAAAACAAAAATATTATCAATAAAGTAACCAATATTAGGGATTCCCTGCAATATTATTGACATTAATTTTTGAAAAGCAGTAGGGGCGGAAGCCAAACCAAAGCACACCTTCCTAAACCTGTACAACCCATTGTGGGATACAATGTATAAGAATGTCGTAAGGTCTCTACTATCTTCGTGTAAATTTAACTGATGATATGCGGACTTCAAATCTAATTTGCTAAACAGTTTAGCACCTGACATCGCATCAAATAATTCCTCAATTTTTGGCAAAGGGTGCTTCTCAATTATTATGGATTCATTTACTTTTCTCAAATCGACAAAAGACGTATTCCGCCATTTCTTTTCCAGACCACTACTAATGGGGACACCCAATTAGTCGCACCTTTCACCCTTTCAATGACCCCTTCTTTCTCCAACCTATTCAACTCCACAGTAACTTTATCTCGAATTGCCAGAGGCAGTCTTCTCAATGACTGCTGCACAGGCTGACCTGAGGGTTAACTTTAACCATATGGACAAAACCTTTAATGTGTCCGAGATCAGAACCAAAGAGATAAGGAAATTCAGCCTTTACCCAATCCATTTTGGTATCCTTACCCTCACACTTATCCACTCCCATTGACAAACATGACATAATCGACCCATCAATCGCTAACCCCAGCATTTGAATCAAATCTTTGCCTAAAATAGAACACACCTGATCTACTACTAAAAATTTTACTGTAGCTGATTTTGACATGTACTTAACTAATGTGTTAAATTCCCCAGCAATATTAATTTTTGCCCTGTATATGTTAACAAATTAACTCTACTTGGGCACAGAGCTTCTTTTACAAAATGTCTCTGAAACAGTTTCATGCTTAAAAGGGACACATCTGATGCTGTGTCAACAACAAAAGGTAGATTCACATTATTGACACTAACAGTCAATGAAATATTTGCCTTCCTACTGCACTCACCATCAACTTCCCCCGCAAAACACTGCATAACGTTTTTATCACCAACTTCATGGCACATACGCTGAAAGTGGCCCACCCTGGAACAATGACGGCACACCTGGCTCTTCGCTGGGCATTCAGCAAAATTTGACAAATGGCGTTGAGACCCGCATCGAAAACATCGTCTTCGTCCCCCACCAGGAGGTCCATTATTATACCTCTTCCTTACCTGCGTTTGTGCGCATACTGGTATCGATACAGCATGGAGTTCATCAGGGGCCTTTACCGCTATCCCTTCCATGTTTTTTCGTTCCATCTCAGCTGCTTCGACCCTCTCTGCAATCTGAATAGCTTTCGTCAAGGTTAGCTCTTTCTCCATTAATAATCTTTCCCTGACTCTCGTAGAGTTTGTTTTTTCTACTATTTGATCACGGATCATGTCATCATGCAAATTAGCAAACTGGCACGTACTTGCTAAATGTTTAAGAGCCAAAACAAACGCCTGAACTGTCTCACCTGGTCCTTGGGATCGACATCTAAACTTGTACCTCTCCGCTACAACGTTTAGTTTGGGTTCAAAATAATCAGCAAGTAATTGCATAGTTTCTTTATATTCGTCTTTATCACCATCTGCTTCTGCCTGTTGTACACCAGCAACAGACGTGGCCGTACTGTTCAAAACAGTGCAATAAATCCGTGGGCTTCAGTAACAAACGACGCTTCCAAAAGGGTCGTGACAAAGTGCGAGCCAGCAAGCCATGCGAGTCATACATTTTAAATCCTTTTTTTTCACCGGGAAGCTTTGCCTGTGTAGTCCAGTCATGCGCAGTACATACACTTTTTCGAATCGTTGATCCGGAAGTATGCAGCGCTGAGAGAGATGTTGTTAAAATACAGATATACAGATACATATATACAGATATATTTATATATATATATACTGTATTTATTGA